TGAGTACAATCTGGAGAGATTAGTGGTTGCCTGGGGTTAACGTATAATCGATAATTGATCGGTGAGCTCACTGACGAAAGCCCATTGAATAGAAGTATTCCACCGTTGTTTCCTTTCCGAAATCAGGTACCCTCATCCATCTCTGAGAGGAAAAGGCTATCAAACCTGAACGTCCCCGATTCCCTTCAGATTTCTAGAAATCAATGGGAGAAATCGATCGCAGCAGAATAACCAATAATCAGTTACTGAGATCTTTCTAATAACTATTATCATACCTTTCCTCCTGAACCTTCTAATCATCAAAAAAGCGTCGATGTAAAGAAAAGACTACAAGTTCGAATAAACAAGCATCGATATCGATCAATATCGGCCGATTCGAAAGTTTCAACCAATCGATCAACCATAGTTTATTTCCTTGTAATAAAAAGAAATCTGCACGAGTACACATCACACAATGCTGAATACAAGTATAAAGCGTTATTGAAGCGTTATCGATTCTATCACAATATCATCGTTAGTTACGGTAGGTGGTTAAAGTCCTCTATATAACTTTACAGTGAATTATACAGTAATCGATAGAACACGAAGAATTTAACAACTTCAACAATGCTTGTCGATGCGCAAAAATCGGTAAATATGAATTCAAGCGAAACCCCTATCCTTTTACTAACTGTACACGGGCTTAACAACTAGTACCGCAACAATGGAACAATCGATATATCGATCGATGTAATGAAATGTGACTAATAATTGAACGCACAGGGGACACATAATCGTAGAAAGTCTGGAGAAAAGGCCTGCTCAGAAATGTACACTATTTTATCGTTTTGTGGGAAAGGATGAGAACACATTAGCTAAAAGAAATAATCGATTTATTTTTGAGGAAGAGGGAGAGCAGTGAAATAACGGGGATTCTCCTAACAGAACAAGCTAGAGAGAAAGGGAGAGTGGGTGAAGTTTCAAACGAGGGTGAATCCTTGCGTATGCTGGATGGAGATCCGCAAGCGGCGCAACAGTTCTTTGCTGTCGGCGATATTGGGCAGGTCGAGCAGGTTGAAGCAGGTGTGCGCAACCGGTAACACTTCCGGAGCCGTTGGTTGCACGTACATCTGCATCGACGACATACCACCAACAGGCAATCGAGTCGAGCCCATTAAAAATTGCAGAAATTGCTGAAATAAGATATAATCACATAAAAACTTGATCATCTGGGGAACTAAAACTACCAGCCCAGCATTTCTAGAAAGGTTGTTTCAAAAAATTATGAAAAGACTTCTAAGGAAATATGCAAAAAGGTGGAAGTGGTGCAGTCAAGGTATATGGTATTCTGGG